GAATGATTAGTGGCCGCCTTATATCAATCACATTAGTAATTGTAACGTTACGGCAATTGTATTAATAATTATTATTAATAATTACATCTATCTCTCGTGAAGACTATGAAGAGGTTGTTAATAGAACTTATGTTATCAGGATCGTTCTACGCATGTAATTTCTCTCTGTTCTCTCTGCTAGAATATTAAAATTTAAAACAGTTAATCTTTTGCTTTTGACGTAACCACGTATTAAAAATAACTGCAATGAATAAATTACGAAATGATATTAAAGTACGTATCCCGTCTTTCCTTGTATTATTTTATTGTTAGATAACAGTATATTACATTATGGTAATAAAAGAAAATTAATATTATATACGAAGATTATATACTTAAAATAAATTAGTGTATTTGACTCTCGTGTATAGAAAGAAGAAACAAGCTCTCCTATGCTTGCGATAATAAATAATTTTTTAGATTCTTCTCTGTTAATCATAATAATGTTCAATTTTTCGAGCTAAAAATTTACAACAGGTCACTGATTATCTGCAGTACGCTTTGACCTGTAGATTGCAAACGCTCTGATTATAAGACATATCTACGAGGCACATATGAGGAAAAATGTTATGTGATGCTCACATTCATTCGCGTGAGCACGGTTATTAACTCGGTTATTAATTGACACAATTGATGAAATAAAAACGCCGAGAATGCTGCACCGAATGGAAAAAATCTCCGTTAACTAATACATGAATTGATCAGTAGGTCGCTATTTGTTGAGAGAGAAAGAGAACGAGAAAATTCTGGCTTCTTACATTTTTCAGAGTTCGGGTCGAGATTATCGTAAATTAATTTAATGTGGATACAAGTTTCTTCATCGCAGTTTGTGAATTACTTGGAGTTTCTGAGTTCTTGTTCCAAACCAGGAGTTGTTTAACGCTCAATATTATACCGATTCTTTATTAATAATAAACACTAATTTTCTCTCTTAGACGCGCTATGGGAATCGGAATCTATTCGGAACGTCTCAGTTATCGCGATATTGTGGCGGAAATTGTAATTCTTCCCTTTTCAAATACGCTATCTCTGTTATCGGCGCGATTATGTAAAAAAGTCTTTTGGCTGGAGCCAGTTGAAGGCATCGCGTACAAAAGATATATATCTGTTATCTCGTGCGCACGTCACTTGAGTAGAGTGTGAGCAAACGAAGATAGCCTACATACGACGCGGTTCGGTAACATACGGACAATTCAGAATTGCATCAATGAGAGGAGAAGCTAGCGGTGAAAGTGCCGCTGCTTCACGGAGACGCTTATCGGTTCTTATCGGAGCGCGGAGCGCCGCGTGCCCAGCGATGTAAAAATCTGCGGCATTCCGGTGAACACCTAAAAACTGGGCAAAAGAATACAAAAATGTTTCTTATATTTAATATTACATATAATTATACATGCGCAATTAAATAGTCTTTTCAAAAATTCGCGCATTTTCACGTTTGTTACCGATTTCTGTGTGATTCCTCGTATACATTACCTTGTATAGTCATCGGCGCTCCGCATATTCCGCTCCGTGCGGTTTGACCCGACCGCATATGGCAACGAAAGTTTTCGCGTTATTGCGAAATACCCCATCGCGCCGAGTCATTCCAACCCGTTGCGTCGAATCACCAAGGTGAGATGAGGCTCATTAAGAGCAAGAAAGAAAGGAAGAAAGGAAGGGGGAAAAAAATGAAAACGAGAAGGTTGACCGAGTATCTTACGTCTCCGTCGCGTCTCCGGCAACTTTGCCATCCTAAAGCCCTCCGAAGTTCTCCGCGGTCCCGTTCGACGCAGGACGAATTTCCTACGGCTACTTAACCTGCGGCAACACGTATTTCCCATGCATTTTAAGGATTTCGGACTATAGGGGCGGTGTTTTGTCGAAGTATGAGCACGTAGTTGCCGTGAAAGGATCATAGAGTGGACTTAGCTGCGGAATCCCGTGTAAAACTTGCCCGGAATAACAAAGTTCCGCGTCTCGAGGTGCACCCGATGCTCCGCGTCCCCCTCCCTCCTACCCTCCCTCCCTCATTCGCGGTCAGACTCTTTATTTTTCGCGAACAGCCCCATTATGACGTCCGACCTCGATTTTATATTCTCATTAGCGCTTCGTAACCGTGCAACAACGAACTCCCGTGCCCAATGCAGAAAACGGAGTAGTGAAACATAACAAGATAAACGAGAAACATAATACGAGAAATTTTTGAAACATTAAGTATCCAATCCAAATCGTGAAGGGGAAAGATTGAGAAAAAAGTTTGAATCTTTACTTATTGTTAGTTAAATATGTAAAATACGATTAAAATATGTATAATATTTGATTTAACATATCATCTCGTTTTTTATATACAGATGACCTTATTCGATCATGTTTCACTGATATTGAAATTATTAGAGTCCCATCAGGATGCGGCCCAGAATACCTGGCTCTTTTCCAATAATCTTTTGAAATTATTGAAATCTATGCTTTCATAATAGCCGACAACGATAAATGCACGAAACGCTGTCATTTAAGGATGTTTTACGTATAGCTATATATATGTATATAGTATAATTTTGTTTTCTTGATTAAGCAGTGTAAAGCTAGTCTCAGAAATTATTCATAAACAATGTTGTCATTGGGACAGAAAAAGCGTAAAAGTCGCAATTGTGTCCCATTTTTGTACTTGATATTGTTTAAATAAATCATTAAAAAATTGAAAAAAAAATATTAACAGAAAAACTTAAAAAAACGTAATTGCAATTCTCGATGTCATAGAAAAATTTCATTCATTTTTACTGTACAGGAGCAGAGATACATATTATGATATTTACATGGGAAGTATATATCAATTATATCATATACGATTTCTGTAACTTTTAAAGCAAATATCTCAGAAACGGGCCAGACAGTCGATCGCAAATTTAACACAGGTTTTTGGGGTATATAAGTGCACAATCTCTGTAAATTTCAGCTTCATCCCTCTCTTTTGACATGAGCGATATACATCCTTACAGGATAGCTTAGATGCAAAATTGTCCACAATAAAACTGCGTTGCGAACAATGCGCCAGCTGTTTTCTGGCAGGATGCGCGCCGCGCATCGCGGTCGTTATCACGATCTAAAATGGTCCCGCGCACTCGCGCAGTGCGTTTTATCTGCGTCCCCGCTAAGCCTGGACTTCCGCAATTTCGAAACAACAAACGCGTCGGGCGTTGTCGCGTTCTTGACTCGTGCTCGTGACTTTTAAGTAACGCATTCGCAAATATTGTTGGAGCGCAAACGATTAAAAAAAAATAATTAATACAGAACTGCAGTAACGATATCTGCTGCGTCGCGTGTTTCTTCGTGACGCGATGACGCTTTTGATCTGCGGAAAAGGCATCAGACCGCTTCGGTTGCAACAAACGTTTGGGTCGTCTCGAACGCGAATTAATAAACGTGCCGCGCCGTGTCGTTAGTCCCGTTAAAACCGAGTTCAAAGTTACGTAACACATACGCGCCGTTACAGCTCGGCACTCGTGTTTCGACGACGTGTGCACGCACGTACGAGCAAATGCGGCGCGCGCGCGCGCGCGCGACCGTCGGATGCTGCACGCGAATCTTTTAAGTGACTCCCGGCGCGGCGCGGCGTGTAAATACGCCACCGTAATAATACGTCTCGGTCCTCGGCGCGATTTAAGCTTCATTACCGGTGCACGAGCCCCCGTTTCGCGCCCATGGAAAAAGACACATTTCCGCTCGCGTGTTGCAGTGTATTTTATGTGCGCGTGCATACATATATGTACGCCGCGTCGGAAACGAGACACCTGTCTCGTTTGTCTGATGCGGAAAGCGTTCATTGAAAAGAAATCGACGCTGACGCATCTCAATAAATTTTAATCTCTTATTCTTTTAACATGATATAAGAAGAAATTAACTTTAATTTATTTTAAATTTTGATTAAATGAAGAAAATATTAAATTCTTGTAAGAGAGAAAGAGATAAAAATCAACTGAATTTTTTTATATAAAAAGGAGAAGGATTATAAATTAAAAAATAAATTGAAATATTATATATAAAAGTTAATCGTAATTTCGAGGATTAGGATTAGTCGTTTCTTTTAGAAGAAACGACTTTTCATTAATTTCATTGATTAAGATTAACTGTCGCTTGCGAATGTGCGAATATGCGAATGGAACGACGAAAGAATTTATTCGCAACGCGAATAAATAAGAATGTTCGTTAATCGATCGTCGCCTCCTTTCCATTCGTACGTAAGAAACGCACGTCTCACCACGCCGGTATACGGTGTATTATTCATACTATGTTGTAACGGCAGTGGCGCGCTTGCATAACCGGGCGGGTTATACGTAGCCCAGGATCGTCAGGATTCGCCCATAACGATACGTTATTCCGGTTGGTTCCTGAGGCTTATATCTAGCGCCGGTTCTCCATTTTCATCCCGCACGAGCGACGTCATTGACCCCCCGCGCACTCGAATCCTGGGCAGTTTGCCGGTCGCGTGGTTCTTATACGGAATCACGACGCGCCGCTCCGCTGCCGGCAGAATGGCCCGACGATCCTGAATTTATATCGTGTGTTTAGGTGAGAATTGGTTCTTTATGAGGGACACGTGAGGATACTTGGTGATATACACGCCCGATGGCCTTTCCACACGTACGTGCCGCTGCCGGCTGCCGTTCGCGAGCGCGTGCGGTCACATATGTGGTTATCGGGTGGCAGGTACTCGGGCGCTCGATGAGGTAGTGACTTATGCATTTGTCATAAGTGGCAACAAAAATTGTAACGAACGCGGTGGATGTCTATGAAACCGTTTGAAATGCAAGAGAGCCAGATTTCGAGCTTTACGTTTCATAAAAAGGTTTAGGTCGGGTGCTTGTGCGTATATCCCCCGTAGGAACGACAGATTAATTATCTGTTATAATAATTATCGATAGAAGAATAATTGTCGATTTTTTTTGTAAAGATTCATAAGTTACAATAGTGATCTGTTTTTTCAGGATGACGACTTAATTTTCGACCCGGAGGGCAAACAAACCGCCGCTCAAGCACCGTTGATCGAAACGCATCAGGATGATTCTCTCTTTCACAGGATAAAGAGAGAAGTTCTGGATTTTTTTACTTCGTCATCCACGACAACGCAAGCGCCGTCAGGTATCAATTCACTCTTAATTAAGTATTAAATGCAATGAGAAGAAATCGTATTATTTATATATATGTATATCTGGTACATTTTTATTTTTGAAGTCATTAAAAAGCGTTTTTTTAATTTGCCTTATTCAATTTTTGCTTTATTATTCAATTGTCCAACTTTTTTGACAGACTCAAAAGAAGAAGATGGAGATCAAAATCAAGATATTGACAAATCCGTCATCTTGAACGTTGGAGATAAAGGAAATTTTACTCTCGATCAGCCTGAAGCGCCAAGTGCCGAAACGGGTATCGGTGGCATCGAAAGATTGACTTTAGAAAAGAATGATGACAATAGTGAAGCAGACGATGAGGTATGAAACATTGTTACGAAAACATTTTACCTTTTGATCTTTTTACGTGTCTGTCATATTTAATTAAATTGCATGAATACTTTTTATTTAAAAGAAAGGTGTTAAAGGACAAATAACTAAAAAGATAATAAATCTACAGAAGGATAATTGTGAAAAAAATAATTGATAACTTAAACGTTTGCAATTTTCAATTTATTATTTGATTATGATATTTATCTATTACATAACTGTCTGTTACACGGAAATGTTGTCACTTTACAGCATGAAAATGAGATTAATAGCGCCGCGGAAAGTCAAAGAGTACCAATAACTTACGGAAATTCCGATGACGAAGATTTGGCTGGCTCGGGAGAAATCGAAGGCAGCGCAGGCGAAGTGGAGTATCATCCAAACACAGGAAATCAACATCGTAACACTGATGGCAAAGCACGTAAGTCTCTAATTAGCCACAACTTCGTCAATTAGAATTAAGAATTGAAGACAAAAATGACAGTATAGAATTTAATTATCTCTTGTCGCTTCGCCTTTTTCGAGAGAAAAAACAAATCTATCAAACCTTACTTAACTTCATTTGTTTGTAAAATAGCGGGCTAATAGTATAATAGTTTCTTAAACAATATATGATAAGAAGAATAATAAAAATGATTATAACAATTTGTCTCTGATGTGCACATAAATTTTTATCGATTAAAATCGCGATAATTTCCAGAAATATTTTGAAATAATTTCCAGATATCCTTATAAAGCAAAAGCCGAAGTAAAAGATTGGCAGCTTTATATTAGGGTGTACTACTTATTCTTAATAACAAAAATATTTTAGTCCAAGGAATATACAGTTAATATTAATTGTAGTATAGTTAATATTAATTGTCTAATATAGAATTTTAATATAGAATCTATTATTTATTTAACTTTTTGCAAGTGTTTTTGTAAAATACTATATTTTTGTAATGAGAATGTTTTTTGTGATAAGAAATTAAGCCATTTTACTTAAATATATTTTTAATTTTTCAATGACAAAAAGATTATTTTTTCAAAAATAAAAAATCTTGGTAATATCTTTGAAAGTAAAAATTTTTTTTTATACTACGTTGTAAAACATTATTACTATTGTAGTGTTAGAAAATTAATTTTATAAAGTAAACGCATAACAAATCAAGAAGTATATAAATGATATTTTAAAGAAAATACAATAATTGGCAGTAAAGACTTTATATTCGACCTAACTGGCTATCATTATAATCGTCATGACAATATGACCATTGGTTTTACTCATTAATCGTTAAGAGGTTCAACCATGGGTTTTGGTCTTTTTAAAACGATGTAATTTTGATGCTTATATAGAGTCGACCTATATTCGAAAAAATTTAAAAAAATATGTAATTATATCTTGCAGATACATCGGGACAAAATATTTTCTAATTTATAGTTTACATCATGTATTTATGCATTAATAAAATAGTAGAAACACAACATAATAGCAAACATATGATTCATTACTTTCAACATTAATTGTTATTATGTATTTGTCATCTAATTTGTTATTATTCGGATGGTTGTTAAATTCCGTTATATTATGTATGTGATTTTAAACATTATTTATATCATGTACATAATATAACGGAATTTAACAGCCATTTGAATAGTAAGTAAGAAATTAGATGATAAATACACAATAACAATTGATGTTGAAAGTCAATCTCGTTTGGGAACATGTAAAAATTGTGGAAAAGTAGTAAATTATCATTTTTCTTCCCGTGGTGGGGTTATCAGCCCTACGCACAACCCCAATCTGAAGGACTGGGGGGGGGGGGAGTGATCAAAGCATGGTCGCAAATGGGAGGGTACGTAGCAGTTCCCAACTATGTGTGGACTGTCTCTTTCGAAAGACAGATTTCAGTTTCACCACGAGAGAGTCCCTTCGTTTAAATTCTCGTGCACACACAGAGGGGTGCAATTAAGTATATTAAAATTCCTGTGATCAGGTGGACTCGAACCCAATTTTTCGTGGTTACGAGTCTCGCGCTTTACCACTAGACCGCACTGCCACCTTCGAATATAAGTCAAATATAGGTTGAAACATCTTGACGATAAACTAATAGCCAAAATCAATGGTTATACGACGATTATAATGATAGCTAATTAGGTCGAATAAAGAGTCTTTACTGTTAATTATGTTAATTATTCACTAGCGAAGTAAAAGTTACTTATTCGGTTAAATGAAATACTTTTAACAGAAATGTATTATTTATTAATGTATTTTTAAGAAATTAATTATTTTACTAAAACAAATGTTTCTTTTGTAGGATTCTACCGAATAACACTGACGGTTGGCGAGCCCTACAGGCGAGAATATTCTGACAGAAACAGTCTTGAGTACCGAGAATTAAGCAGCAATCTCACACACGCCGTCGAGAATTTGTACAATCGTCACATTCCAGGATACAATCACTTTGCCAACGTCGTCAAAATATCGTAAGTATGATCATCCACATTCTGACTTTAATTCTCAGTGACGCGTCTCTACTGCGTTTGGTTTAACAACTTAAATTTCTAGGCCAACAACCGACGCTTTTACGTCGCAAGTTACCCTAGACATTGGTTCGACATTCACGGACGAGCTCGAGGTGCGCGCCATCCTAGAGCAACAGCTGCAGTATCATTCCTTGGGCAGCATCCAAGTCGGTCCGGAGGGATTTACGTTCAGGATATTCCAAGGTATTTCCATCTTAGGCGGCTACCGCCTAACGACATGGAAATGATCGATTTCACGTTGGAGCTTTCAAAACTAAAACTTCGTAATTCGTTCAGCTTTCCATGATGCCACGAGCTTGCGAAAGTCCGAATACAGGAAATACGAAAACCCGGTGAATATCGAATAGTCGGCTGCTCAACGAATAAAATTAATAGCTATGCAGGGATAAAAAAAAATTTATATCAAATCGAGATGGCGATATGTGTAACATCGAAAACTGAAATCGATCATTTCAGTGGAACGCATGATTTCAACATGTTTAGATGATAGATTGTTAGAACGTTGATACGAGCAGATATGCACGAGCATGCAATCTTCGTCTGAAACTGCTTTTAACTGCAAGCTTTATTCAGAATCTTCGCGATCTCCAATTACTTAGATCCGTCTATATTTTTTATTCTTTTCTTATTAAGTTCATAATTATTATTTTAACTTACAAATTTTTTTACTTTAACTCCAGTTTCCTCCTCGATTAAGTTTTCGTTCTCATTAGTTGTTCTTCTTTTTTTCAAACCTCCTCCTCCTTTTAAATGAACGCCGACTGGTGCCACGATTCGCTTATTCCGCCTACCTTCGACGCAATGAATGCACACAAATACGCGACATCCGAGCGCAGCCGGAGAGAAAGACGCACAGCCGGAATGCGATCAGACCGCCGAATTAAGGTGCAGAAGCGGCGAATGCGTGCCTCTAGAATCCCGCTGTGACGGCGTATTGCAATGCGACGATGGTTCCGACGAGGACAACTGCCCGACAGATTCGTCGAACAGGACACGCGACGGTAAGTGCGCGAGACTGATCTTCTCCCTGAAAGTGGTAAAAAATTGTACATAATGCTAGATCGCTGTTAATAACGCCTATCTGTGAAACTCGCATCTTTACCCTTCTCTCCTGACTAACGAAAGTCACAGGCTCATGTACAAATATGCGGTACGTTGTAACATAGGTGTAAGCGTAGCTTCGTAAACATCGGCAAGGCCCATTTATTATTGCATATATCTCTAATTTAGGATATGATACGAAATACTACATTTATGTGTATTTTAGTTAGAATATCTTCTCATGGAGAGCCAGCCGATGTGGCGAGCTTTATTATAGATTTCCTGTCTATCATCTTTATTTTTATCTTCATTACCGTCTATTTCGCGTTAACCATTTCTCAGAGTTTCCAACCTCGTTTAAATAATAGAACACAATTAATCATAAATTTATTTTTGAGTCTAATTTATGCAACTACAATTGTAACTTATAAAAAGAAAACACACATATACTATATCTGTACCTTAGAACCGTATGTCCATTATTATGAATTCAGAGAAAACAAGCTTTAAAGTTTTAAAAAAGGTATGGTATTTTATTTTTTTAGATATAAAATAAAAGTAGCAATTTGATTTATTGAGTTTTTAATAAAATATATGTTTAATAATATAACTGCTAATAACACGCTGTATCTGTTCAAAATTAAGGCGCTATAAAAACTTTCAATATGACTTTTTCTAAATATTGCATTTTAGGAACTAGTAGTAATAGACATAAGATGCTTTATTATTATAGCATTATACAATTTAAATTCCTGATATATTAACTCTATTTTGAAAAAAATTGGAGATATGATTCTTTACCTTTAAGGTACAGATAGACCATAACAGACCATATGATTAAAATTTATTCTGGCAAAAATATTCTCACAAAAAATCAATACTAGCTTATCCTTGAAAAATAGACTTTTCTTTTCTTCACGTATATCTTATGAAACATTCAAGTAATACTAGCAAAACGAAGGCATTGGTTGAAAAATCTGGTACCATTCTATCGTCTTACGATTCGCCTAATTCACGCTCTTCGCTAACACGCGTGTAAAAACTAAAAATCGCAACCGTTGACACTGAAACCAACGCTGATAAACGAAACGACAGATTTTGAGTATACCACTCTGGCACCACAACATCCTTCACTGCATTTCCCGGAGACGACCCACACGAGAGTACAGCCTGAGGTAAAATTGGAGATCGACGACAGGGAGGACGAGGAGTCCACGCTGAGGCCACCCTCGAACAAGTGCCGTGCCGACGACACGGTACGCTGTCATGACGGCAGTCGTTACATCTGTTCGGTGCAGCAGTGCGACGGTGTCTTGGACTGCGATGACGGTGGTGATGAAGTCGATTGCCCGCATCCAGGTACAGGTTGAGCTGGTTGATCTTCGCCGAGGATCGGGTTTGACGCTAAACGTCGGCGATCTAGAAGAACCGCGTCTCGTCATTTTGGCGAATACCGGAAATAACGTGAATAAAAAAACGAAGAAGCGTCGTATAATCGTAGAGTTATTACAATTAAAGGGTTTTAAAATATTTTTAAATTATATTCGGTAACTCGTTAAAATAACACGGAAGCGGTTCTTCTAATTAATAAATGTATATTTAATTCTTTTCATATTCTGAATGTAGATATGTATAAGCTTCTCTTTGTAATATGATGTTCTTTCACACACAATCAACAATATTGCTTATGTATATTGTTATGCATATATTATAAGACATGTTTAGAAAGTTTCAACTACATGTTTTATCCTTTATAAAATTGTACATATGTTATTAGAGAATTCTCAGATTTTTGTCGCATCGATGCATGTTATGCACTAACGAGAATAAGATTCGTGTATGTCTTTTGGATGCTTTTTACGTTAAAAGTTAAATTTTTACCAACGATTGCTTTTTTTAAATTTGAAAACATTGCGATAGCTCCAAAGAAATCAATATATTAACGATTTACGTTTTACAGGTTGCAGCGCTGGCGAATTCGCATGCGACGTAAACAGATGCATATTGGAATCTCAAAGATGCAACTTTGTGGAGGATTGCCAAGATGGTAGCGACGAACATGACTGCAACTATCCAGGTAAGTGTATTGTGATTCTTATAATACAGCGTAATCATGTACTAGTATTTAAGAATGAATCGCGGGGACTCTTATCTATTTAAGTAAAACGCATTTTTTTGTGATCTCGTTAAAAAATTGCATAAAAACTACAATTAAATCTATACACTGAGGAAAAAAATTGTTAATCCCAAGAAATATTTAGTTCGATACGTTCAACTAAACATTTCAGTTAGTTAACTAAATATTAGTTGTTTCAACAATTTATTTCGTTTCTTTAATCAAGAATTAATTAATTCAACTAATGTTTAGTTAACTAACTAAAATGTTTAGTTGAACGTATCGGACTAAATATTTTTTGGGATTGACAAATTTTTTTTCTCAGTGTAATATTCTATAGACTGCAATTAGATCTATTTCCATTTATTTAGCTTTATTTATTTTCGTTTAGCTAGCTCTGTAGCAATATAATTGAACTTCAGAAAAATATATATTTTAAAAATGCGACAATGTCAAATCGATTCCGCCTTGATTTCGCGAATTCTCGGTTTTACCGACCGTTTGATAACAAACGGTGCCTATCACTCTTGAACACCCAGTATCTTACCTACGACCGTTAGCTTATCAGTCTGGATGCAGACTCGGGGAGCGTAGATGGTATAGACCAGTTACCTGTTCTACCGACTCGAGGGATCGATAGGGCTGTCATCCCTCGGTACCCTTTTCCACCCCGTTGAAACTTTGCTTATCGAGATCGACGGTTTATCGGCCACGCGTTTCTCGACATTAATTCAAATCGGTCCGCTCCTCGTCCAACCGCGGGCGTTGGTGCAAATTTCCGGCGACGTGTCTCCTCCGCGAACGGCGAAGCGAATCCCTAAGCAGCGACGGAAACTGCGGTTTTTCCCAGTAGAAAAATAAGGTCAGACGGGAGAGAGGCCGGCGCGCACCAGTACGTACCTACTGAATATTCAAAGCTCGAGGGCTTTTTCTCCTGTCCCGCGCCGCCGTCCCGCGCGTCTCCCGGCCTTTTTTTCCTCCCGTATAGCTTCCTCCGCCTCGAGTGGAGGACGATCGTGGTCAACAACGTGGAAGCGCCGGATACCGGCCGGCGTTGTAAAGCCCACCCGATTGCGGCTACACGTACGAGGCTTTGTTGCGCGAAAGCCAGCTTAATTAGACAGCTGCGCGCGTTCGGCCGGGGTAAATTAGCTCAGTGGTATCGGCTTGTGAATTATATTCTCGCGCCCTCAGAAAGCGCGAAGAAACATCGAATAATCGTGGTTTATATGTTACACTTGAATAATTATGTTATAACTTACCACACTGTTAAATATTAAAGGATAAAATTTAAATAACTCGAATTGCATAACATTTTGTTATTTTTAACTACCATGTCGGTCGAAATTTATTATTTTACCACAAGACAGTAGCTCCATTAGTTTTTAGTTAAATTGACATTGTTTTAATTAATTTAACACGACATGTTAAATGGGAGCTGTGGCGACTTGTAGGAATAATTAAGAAGACTTAAATTGAGTCTAATTTGACACGATGAATTCAACAGTGCATGTCTTCTTCTTCTTTTTCTTCTTTTTTTAAATTAATAGAGAACTACTTTTTATCGTAAAAAGAACAGACAGACTTGATAACGTGTAGAATTAATTTTATATGACATATTAAGAATATCCCCTAATATTAATCACATTTTCTTTATAACAATATTTTATGTAATAGCGGAAACTTCGGGGCATCGGGCTAATTATTCCGCTTTATGTACAATGAGCATAACGAGTCGGCGGCACACATTTGTGCGCACGACAAAACATAGCGCTCTATATTGAAACTATTTTTCATCATTATCGCGATTTCACAATTATTCACCATTGAAAATGAACAATTCACAATCACGACTTGAAACGCTATTCTCGGTGAAGCTATATAGTCGATGCCTGTCGGCAAATAGCTCCCGCCTCGGTCGGGGCCGGTTGTTGATCGTGGAACTTGCTCTTGGTTAATTCAAATAGAAGCATCGCGCGTCCACCTGCTCGCGATTCCGGTTTCATCGCGTCACTCTATTACGGACATCGCGAGTAATTTCCGAATCGTTAAAACCCGCTCTAACGCACCCGCGCGATGTTGCTTCCGTCCTCGTAACTCGCGCGTCGGACGGCAGGCAGCGAAATAAAAAAAAGGATGCAGAAACAAATTGAGGAACGGCTTCCCGCTATTCCGTTAATCGTTCACCGGCGGCGAACTGGGGCAGCGCTCGCTCGCGGCGTCGGTGGCTCGCGATCGAAGGATATAATCCTGCGAGGGGCCGATCGTAAATCAAGTAACCGTGCACGCTCTCCGCCGTACATCCGCGGCTCTCATCATTTAAACGTCTCATGGTTAGCGGATATCTTCCGAGTCTTCCGGCAGGCCTTTTTTTTTTATCCCTCCGAGAGACGACCGGGCCGGTTTGCGCCCGCGGGTAGGACGTAGGACTGGCACGGGGCACGGGTGGAAAAAGGGGGGACACATCATCGAAGCACCGCTTCACATAAATATCCGCAGACACGCAGGTTGCGGGCCCGGCAAGAAGAGCGCTTTTACTTGCTCCCGGTAATCGCGATGTGCATGCTTAATCAATATTCAAGTATTCAGTCGTGAGGCACGGGGGGGACGATCGTAGTTCTCCTTCTCCCTCTTTCTCTCTTTCTCTCCCCTTGATTCACCCTCGCTACCCCCCTCGCTCTCTTCGCCTCATTGCGTTCTCTCTCTTCTCTCTCTCGAGTAGGAATGCGCATAACTAGTTTCGTGTCCTCGGGTGCCCTCCCTCGCGCCAGCGATATGCCCCCTCGGACAATTATGAGTACCGTTGGAGTCGGGGGTAGAGGGATGAGGCAACTTAGCGACAACGATGGGCACAGAGGGGGTAGACGGAAGAATGAGCACCCTGTAGAGCCGATGGCAGAACCGAGAGGGAAGGGAGATAACTTGCACGCTAGGCACCGCCACGACAAACGTCAACCCCCGTCGTCTTCGAACATTATTCAGGTGCGTCCTGAGCGCGCGTATATAGACTGGCCGACTTAAACATCCACGATACGTCCTTAAGCGGCGAAGAACGTCGGAGAATACGACGAAATTTCAGTGTAAGCTTTTTACTAATAAATTACCATTTTATCTAACGCGCGCTCGATAAATGCTGAAATATACTTTTCCAGTTTTTCTTAGAATAAAGCATCTACGTTAGGTTTACTGTTTTTAGTTATCAAAGTATTCTTGCGGAGAAAATTACAAATAAGATACGTGTGAGCCTTAATAAACGTCGCTGACAGACGCGCATTAATGCTCTAGAATATAAATAAAGTCTTTTTACCGCCTAGCCATTCTATATTAATATTATTTTGGAGTAAATTTATTTTTGTAGTTTATAATATCTCGGAATATATGCAACATTATAAAACTTTAAGTGTCTCAATAATAGATTTCAAAATTTGAAATATTTTTGTGCTATGGAATTCATCTAAAACGATTGCGCGCCGGCTAGGTTCGGTATCGCCCGCGATATTTCTTGGCGAAGACATTCACGGTTGCTTTTACAACGTAGCGCGGTGCATTCGTTGTCGGAAGTATAACGATGAAAGTCGGAAGTATAACGATATAGTTTCGAGAGAGACTTCTTCGTGAACCCTCACGATGAGACCTCCTGCTCCTCTACGTAGCCACGTCACGTCAAAACAGGCCGAATATTGTTATTGCAAACTTATGGATGCTAATAGTCGGGCGATACTTCTTCCGTGAATATTGATATAGTCATCAGCTGCGGAACTTGTAACCGATCGTACCGACGTTGTGCGCCCACCGTTATCAGTTCAGCTGATAAATTAACTAAATGCTCTTTCTCCGTACATTAACGTCGAAATCGTGATCTAAAAAAAGGATAGATTATTAAACTAAATTTAAATAATCCATACTATTATTCGTAGCTCGAATATAAAGCGAAACGACGGTTAAAACGGAGCATGAAGCGGGGCTTAAACTTGGTCGGCGCGGGTAATAGACGACGATAATAGTACGTAATGGTAGGCTGTGCCTTCGGCGTTTTGATGCTTGTCCGATTACAAGCCGACTGGTGTGTCGTACGACTATTAGGGTTTACGCGAGACTCTCTCTTTTGCATGTCATTACATCTTAACGCCTCCACTACCGCTAGCGTAAACACACGAGCCCGCCCGCGAACGTCCGGCCTGCGAAATTTATCGTTCCCCGCCTGTCCGAAAAACATCCGCAAAAAGAAGTGCGCCCGTCTAATGCGCGTCGACCGTTATCTGGAATATTACTTGCTATCACTTTATTTTCACACACGTCCTCGTCGATTTGTGTTCGTCAACTTGTAACGATGAAGCCAAAGATTTAGGATATTTTGACATTTTGTGAAAACGCACGTCTCACCTTTCTACGTAATTTGATTTATAATCTTTGTCGTTCCTTTAGCATGCAATTATCAATTAATTTTTATTACATAAAGTATACATATAACTCAAATCGTGTTTTTTTTTTAATTTATTTGATAATTAACTTGTGGATACAATACTTTAAATATTATATATATGCTTTTTTTTGTTGTCAAATCTTAAGCGATTTGAAGATAAGTTCGTTAATTATTTTTCTTGGTTAATGTGACTTTAAAAGATATTAAAGATTTTATTACAGTTAATTTATACTAAGTAATACAATAAATTTATGCTAGGTAAGAAAACGCAGATAAAAGGTGCACATTAATAAATTATGTTAACGTATGTCAGCGTTGATCGATTCAGCTATTTAAGGGTAAATAACGATATCTATTATAAGATCATTAAACGTTATTACGGTATCTTATTCCAATTCCAACGACGTTACCTGCGCAAAGAAAATTTTGTTCAATTAGCTACGCTCTCTCTACCATCGTGCATTGTCCGTTAAATTAAAAATCGAATTATAAAATATATAAAATATACCAAAAAAAATTTCTTTTATAGAAAAACGCA